TATAAGAAGCTGATGATCAGAGCCACAATCAGCTCCAGGTCTTGTTTTTGCTGACTGTATAGAGCTTCTCCATCTTTGGCTGCAGAGAACATAATCTGATTTTGGTATTGCCCATCTGGTGATGTCCATGCGTAGAGTCGCCTCTTGTGTTGATGGAAAAGAGTGTTTGTGATGACCAGCTTGTTCTCTTGACAAAACTCTATTAGCCTTTGTCCTTCTTTCTTTTGAACTCCAAGGCCAAACTTACCCGTTGTTCCTTTTATCTCCCTGCTTTAGCATTCCAATCCCCTTTAATGACAAGAACATCTTTCATTCTTTCTTTCAGTGTGTTTAGGCTAGTGCAATTTACTGTACTAAGCAACAGATACTGACCTGGCATTGAACAGCACCAGTTTTAAAATGGAGGGCTGGCTGGTCTGACTACCTCGATTCTGAAGGTTGATCACAGTCTCAGAACAATGAACAGCCTTCAAGCATCTGTTCATCATTCTTCTGACACGAGTAGGGACTGTCTCAATGCCCTACTCCCTCTACCCGTAATCACAGAGATGTTTAGTGGTCCCTCGCTGGGAGAGCAGGCGTTCCATTCCATATCAAAGAAAAGAGGAGGGGAGAGAAAGAAGAAGAGGGAAAAAATTACAAACAGATTAAATAACAAAATAAGAATACAGAAATATTTGTGCTGTCTTCCTTTTAATTGACCCAAGCATGCCCATGGTGTTCCGTGAAACATCAGAAAATGCTGTTTCTTCCTTTCCCAAGGAGTTTATCCAGTGTTTCACCCTCACTGAGAAGCATCTTCAGCTGGGAATGGTAGGTGGTGTGGCCTCAGGTCCTCCTCTCCCCCTGTCTGCCAAAAGGGATGAATTGTGGGGGAACGTTTCATGATGTTCCAGGTTGCCACCCCCACTGCTACCTGCCAACTTTTCATAGTCCAAATTTGGCTGCAGGGACCTTCTTTGATGCTTTCTCTCCCAGATGCTCCTGCGTTGCTTGTGGGTCTCGCTGCTCCCATGGACCATTGGCCCTTGACTGGAACTGCCCCTGCTCTGGCTGAGAGAGATCCTGTTGGCCAGCCCATCCTTCCCAGAGGTGGTCTGAGGTGCTGAGAAGGGATGGTTGGGCTGCTCGGGGTTGTGTTCAGGGCTGGGAGGGGGTGGGCTGACCAAGTAGACATACACCTCTGCTTGCTGGGCTACTGGTAAACGCTGGTGCCATTCTAGCCCGAGATGGTGCTGCGGACCTCTTGGAGAATGTGGATAGGTGTAATTGTTGAAACGAGTTCTGGATGCTGTATCTGAAGCCAGGGCTGAGTACACCACCCGACTGGGGCCTGATAATATGGGGCTAGGGATGAAATTGGTCTCACTGGTCTGATGATTAAGCTGTTCATGAGGACGTTCCAGATGGCAGAGAGCAGGTTCTTCTGTATTGAACCCCACAGAGTATTTCAGGAACTTCTGCCCATGGCTACCCTCTCCAGCTACCTCAGAGCTACATCGTTTGTCACCAGTGGCCCTCTGGTGGTTACGGGTATGGACGCCATAATGAGTTGAGCTGCTTCCCACATCAGCCACGTGCTCTGGAGAACTGAATCTGAAACGCACCCATGAGGCAACCGATCCAGCAGGACATGCTGGCTGAGGGGTTTCTGTGTCTGAGAGACGGGAACTGTATGGACTGGTCTGGTGATGTTGTTGGTTTATGTACCAGCTGGCTTTCTTATTATCTTCATCATTACGGCTTGACCATTCACCGGAGTAGCAGGCCTTATTTTTCCTGCCAACTTGAGTAGAGTAGGTCTTGGATTCGCGTGGGTTGCCCATCCTCACAGTTACCTTCACAGGATCCACAATGCAGCGGAATCGCAGATTGGAGAGTTTTTTCCGACTTACGACCGTCGATGACCCTTTCCATAATCTTTTGGTGCTGGAGAAGATCCTTATGGCCTTGAGTAACCTGCCACCTGTAGGCCAAGAAAAGGAACCATAAGAGCAAGAGAGACACAGTGATTCAGCAAAATAGTTAAAAGTGTTATGCTACACCAGTTATTTTGTTCAATCTCCAGTCAAGCAAAAGTCTAGATTGCTTTTCCATGCTTTATTCAGAACAACTAGCCAAGTGAAAGAAGCAGAGGGTCAGGTGGGAACAGGAGAGGGAACTGTAGAGATGGAAACATCTGACAATGTTACCTCTAAGAAACGCCATGGCATTTAAAATGGCACAAAACTCTAGCTTGAGGAAGTTATCTTTTTTGGATGATAACTCCAGAATGATCCCTGCTAGCATCCTATGCTAGGTAGGGGATTCTGGAAGTTCACACTCACCAACACACATCCACTGTAATGTTTCCAGGCTTTGTACAAAACCATGATCAAATTGTAGCATAGCCAGGTCTGTCTCCGAGTTCAAGAATACTCCTGGAATTTTTCCCTCTGGTGATGCACCTCCACTGATGGATCTTCCAGCATGGGCTTATCTGGTAGCAGTGCCAGGTGGGTACAAGTGCTCCACTATAACTCCCAAAATCGTCACCATACCAACCAGGGCTGGTGGGAGTTCTGACCCAGCTATGTCTGAGGAGTCACAATTTTCCCTACACCTAGTCTATACCATGTAGTCTGGGAGAAATTATTTCCCTTATTTTCTCTTCCCACTCCATTCAGGTCCTCTTTCAATTATTATAGCAAACAGATGGTTACCTATCAATTCTTTGCTAACAGATTCCAACTGTTCAGCATCCCTGAGAGAGAAGCTACATTTTTGCTGGCCTTTCTCACTCACTTTACATTCCTTCAGCTACAGACAAGAGTAGCGTCTTTTTCAGCAACAGTACTGTGTAACTGGTTAGTATTAGAGGAAATACTGCAGAAATGTCATTTGCAGGAGCTTTTCATCCTTCAGTCGCTTTCTTGCTGATTAACCCTTGTCATTTCTGGCCATGAGCCTACCCTGATAGTTTTCCACTGTCTACACTCTGTTGTGTTTCTAAAAAATGGTTGGGAAACACTGTGGGAGGAAAGAAGGAAGGGAAGGGAAGGGAAGGGAAAGGAAGGAAGGAAGGAAGGAAGGAAATCCTTAAAAGTACAGACCGAAAGAAAGAAAGAAAGAAAGAAAGAAAGGTAATCCTTAAAAGTACAGACTAAATGAAAAGAGCTAATTAACTGTACAGTATACTTCTTACTCATCTACAATTTACCTTTCTCGAAGCAAGAATCACATATGGTATTCATGAATGGAAGAAGATAAATCCAGACCTGGGGTGGGGGGGAAGGAGAACAAAGTCATTGTTTTACCATTGTTTTGATTCATGGAGTATCACAAAATTTGTGAAAGTATCAGTGACTATATATTGTGACCCTCTAAGCTTTCCTGAACTGGAAAGACTATCAAGGGTTAGGGGAAAGGAAATTTGTCCACAGAGTGGGAGATCTACATCTCCCAATCTTTCTAAGACACAGGCCATGATGAACAGCAGCTTTTCATCATTTCAGGGAGTGGGGTTTTTATCTCCAAAAAGTGTGATAAACTTATTATCTGGTTTGAAACTCACAGAGGGCTTGATAGGACAAAACCAGCCTTTTAAAACTGTCTAAAGACAACAGAATACTGAATACTGTAGATACTGAACACCTGCAGAGTATCTGGTGGGCAATCCATGCCCCTTCCTACCTACCTACTTTGGTTTGGGCTGGCTGGATAGCTTAGTGAGTTGGGTATCTGGCTGTGGAGCCAAAATTAAGAGTTCAATTCCCTGCTGTTCATCCCAGGATAGGAGCCAGCCTGTGTAGCTTTGGGCAAGATGCACTATACCATGATGCCCCCAGAAAAAGGGAACAGCAGGCCATTTCTGAATTCTCTGTACCTAGAAAGCCCTGAAAGGGTTTGCCGTAAGTCAGAATTGACTTGATCATGCATAATTATTATTACCGTACTTTCTTTTACTTACCAAGGCAATCAGTTTAACGGCATACTCCAGTACGGCAAAAAGGCCCAACACAATCAAGATGGTGGCCAGTAGTTGCTGGTGGGGCTCACCAAAGGGGAGGTAGCTGTTGTAGACCTTGTCCCCTGGCAGAGCCATAGCTGGAAGAATCAAAAAGGAAGCTGGAAGTCAGTACAGCATTTCCCCCCTCATCTCCACCCCTTCCACTGTTGCTGTGATTGGCACAGGCACATCTGCCGCAGTGAAGGAGGCCTCAAGGGGTTGCTAAAGCACCTGCCTCAGCCTTTGTGATCCTAACCATGAGACAGCAGAAGATTGTTTTGGCTCAGCCAATCAGAAGCTACATTTTAGAGCAAGGGGGCGGGGCAAAGTGGTCTTCCAGGCGTTAGGCCTCGGCTTGCAGAATTCCTTGTCATTGGCCCGGCTCGTTATGGCAACCGTTGCAGGGCAACATCTGGCAGGCCAGGATATGGCCACTCTGGCCCTGCCATGACTCCCCCACCCTTACCCCGAAGCTGACTGCAACTGCTGTGTAGTCTCATTAGTGCGAGTGCTGGACCTTTGACCAAAATGTCCAAAAAGAGTGCTTTATGTGGTGCTGGCCCTGAGAAAGAACTACAGCCAGTGCAAAAGGACTGTGGCCAGACTGTTGGTTGATGTGTGCTTTAAGCAGCGTATATCTCAGATCTGAAATCACCTGCATTGGTTTCCAGTTGGCTTCTGAGCTCAATTCAAGATGCCGGTTTTGACCTGCTAACTCTTAAATGGCTTGAGGCCAGCATGTCAGAAACCAGCGACTTGTGTATTGGAGTAAGGGGAGCACTGCCCACCTCAGTTCATGCTACCCCAGACATCCTGCCCCGGCCCCACTCCTTTCCAGCTGCAGAAAATTCTCCTTTGTATGAATTTTTGCTTGCATGTGTGTGTATGTACATGTATGGCTGAATTGTTTGAGTGACTGGCAGCTGAATATTTCAGCCTTACAACTAGACATGGACTTGAACTTGCAGTTGAATCAACTCATTGACAACAGAACCCCACCTGAAGATAGCAGAGTCGCTGAGGATATAGGGCACACAACTCCACCCTCCTACATCTTGTTGCCACAGTCCAGCACTTGCTCTAAGAATATTCAGCATTTAGATGACTAAGTGCAGCAAGGTAGTGCTGAACATATGGGTATGAAGCAGAAATTACTGCTCTGAATATTTGTAATTCTGTGAAAATAGAACAAACAAATGTTTATTGCTTCAGGAAATCCAGAGATGGGGGAGAAGAGCCCTGAATATGTTTACAGAAGTTCCCAAAGCTGGCTTCTATGTGTACAGATGCTCAGTCATTATGGAGAAGCCTGGCAAGTCTGCTTCTCTTTAACTCTGAAGAAGCAGCAGGAAGTCATGTCAGACAGAGAAGGATAGACTCTAAAAGTAGCAATCTAAACATAGATCTAGAAAAGGAGGAAGAACACATGCGGACTGACCTCCAGTGCCCCTGTTCAGATTCGTTGTTACGTGCATTGGTGCTCCATTTTCAGAATTTACTAATTAAGGAGACCACCTCACATTTTCAGTCGGTAGATTTGGATTTAAAGAAGATGCTAAGCTTCGAGCAGCTCAGGATTCCACCTTAACCTAGATCCTCTCAAAAAAACTAGTTAGGAAAGAAAATACTACTGAGTCACAGCTTATGTTAATCCTAGTTAGGTGGAAAGTGGATGAAGAGAGAGAAAATAAAAGCCAAGGAAACAGCCATGTCTACTCAGATTTTATTTTACAGCAAAAAGAAAGAAAACTAGAAGAGAAATATGTTGAATCTGACTTCCAAATGTCACACTTCTTTTTTCTTCTGCATGACGTGTTCTCCAAACAGAGTTATGACACTGGCTTGCTGATCAGAGGGGGGTTTATGTGCCCAGACCAGCTGCTCATTTCAAAGTTCTAACAAAAGCAGTCAGGATAAGCAAAACACTCCCAGTCCAGACGTATAATGTTACCTTGGCCCTGATATCTGGGCCTTGTCTCTAGTGGAGTTTGATGCCAGAAAGCAGCCATTCTGAATCGTTTCCTTGAATATACAAAACCAGGGGTTTGCTTTCATGTGACGAGATCCGGGTGACTCAAAAGACACAAAAAAAGCGCCTATCTTATCATCCATGCAGTCCGTGAATAATTAAAGTGTCTCTTCAAGCTGACTGAATTCACTGAGTAATTAATCGGTCAGTAGGAGAAAATTTGCTCCCTTTAGGAAGCCAACAATGCTGGCGGCCGGATCCTTTGTCTGACTTAAAAACAAGTGAGGTTGCAGACAGGATGGTGCAGCTCAGAAATTCTGGAACTTGGGATGAATTCGGCACAGCACAAATTTCTGATTGACTTAAAGTAGGTTTCTTTCTGGGACACTTAAAAGCCACATCTTTTGCAGGTGTAAAACGAAGGTTTACGAAACCCGTCTTTGCAACCACATCCATCATACTTGTACACTCAGCAGGAGCTGTAACGGGTGAGCACTTCCCCCTGACTGAGCCTGAACTTACTACAAAAGTTCACTTCTGTATTTCATGTAGGACAGTATTTCTCAAATTTATTTTGACCTATGCCCCCTTTTTTAACAAAAAAATAAAAATCGCATCCCCATTCAAATCTGCCTTTCCTTATCCTTTCTAAAAATAATTTGAAATAACACAACAGAAACAAACAGCAGACAAAATGGTTTGTACTTTTAGACAAAAATATTTATTTCACTCTTCCATTTTTAAAAACATTAATTACAGTGCAATTCAAAGACTGAGATAGTTAAGTGTACTCCTAAATATCATATGATGATACAGCAAAGAAATATACCAAGAAAGCAATAGATGGAATTGCCTCCCCTCCCACATTCCTCTGTGTATCACATACTCATAGAACCATAGAGCTGGAAAGGGCTTATAAGGCCATCCAGTCCAACCCCTTGCTTGATGCAGGAATCCAAATCAAAGCAGATCTGACAAGATGGTTGTCCGATTTTCTCTTGAATGCCTCCAGTGTTGGAACACTCACCATCTCCTGAGGTAATTGGTTCCATTGTTGTTGTACTACTCTGTAAGGTTGTTTTTCCTGATACTCAGCCTAAATCTAACTTCCTGTAACTGTAGTCCATTATCACATGTCCTGAACTCAGGGATGACTGAGAACAGATCTTGTTCCTCCTTTGTATGGCTAACTTTCATGTATTTGTAAAGTGCTATCATATTCCCCCCACCCCCAGTCTTCTCTTCTTAAGGCTAAACATGCCCAGTTCTTTCAGTCTTTCATCATAGGGCTTGGCTCACAATCCTTGTTGCATTCTGTTGAACTTGTTCCAGTTTGTTTGAATCCTTCTTTAAAATGCAGTGTCCAGAACTGGACACATACTCTAGATGAGGCCTAACTGGTGCCGAATAGAGGGGGGCAGGTGCCACTTGAGATTTGGAGACTACAATATTGAACATATTTATTCAAACTACATGTCCTTCAAGGGGAATATGTCCTTGGTCTACAACAAATGTAGGTAACCTCTGGCCTGCAGGATATTGCTTGACTGCAGTTCCACTCATCTCTCCTCAATTGTTGTCCTGCTTAGGGCTGACCGGGGGCGGGGGGTCCAGTCCAACAATATCCAGAGGGCCACAAGTTGTCCACACTGCTCTACCTCACTGAATATGCTGCTCTGTCCACACTGCCGTGCAACCATGTACATGGCAAAACAATTTGTATCAGAGGTCACCACATAGGTCTGAGGAAGAATCATACAATCATGAAGTTCATAAGGCCATAAAGCCCAACCCTTTGCTCGATACAGGAATACACATCAAAAGATATCTGCCCAGAGGTTGTCTAAGTGTTGCAGCACTCACCACCTCTCGAGGTTATTGATTATATCAGTGGTTCTTAACGTGGGCAATAATGCTCCCCAGGGGGCAATTTCATTTTTCAGGGGGGCGGTAGAACGAAAAGGGGTGGTGTGGGGTGAAAGAACAGAAGGAGGCGGTAGGGGGGCGCTGGAGCGAGCCAAACCTGTGAAGGCGACTGCAGCCGCAGTGCTGGCAGTAGATCCGGTGCTGCTGCCGCCGCCAGATGATCCAGCTCTTTCTCCCTGCCACGTCTCGACTTTCTCCTTTAGGGGAGCACTGAGTGTGGATTGGGTGGAAGGAAAGGGTCTCTTGGGTCCTCATCCTCGCCCCGTGAAGCGCTGCCTCGCACCCAGATGGGGAGGGAGACTAGGTAGGTAGGTAGGTAGGTAGGTAGGTAAGATATCACCTCAGGGAGGGGGGCGATGATAACTTCCTCAATAGATCAAGGGGGCATTTCTTTCAAAAAGGTTAAGAACCACTGGATTAAATTTCTGTACTGCTCTAACAGAAAGTTTTTTTCTGATATTCAACCGAAATCTGGCTTCCTGTAACTTGAGCCCATTGTTGAGTGTCTTGCACTCTGCAATGACTGAGAACAGATCCTTCCCCTCCTCTGTATGACAGACCTTCAAATATTTGAAAAGTGTTACCATATCACCCCTCTGTCTTATTTTCTTAAGGTTAAGAATCCTGCCTGAAACCCTCAAGAGCCAGTCAGAGTTGCCAATACAGGGACAGATGACCCAATGGTGTGAACTGATATGAGTCAAGAAGCAGGAACAACAGACTTGTGGAGAGGGGAAGCATTTGTAGAAGTGTAATTTTTTTTTTCATGGGATGATACCTAGGAGAGAAATTCTCTTGGGACAGTCCAATACTTGATAGCCTCAGAATAATGGCTGACTTGGGGTGGAAGGAGAATGGCGTATTCTGATAGAAATCAACACTGGTTATTTGGAACACTGAACAAGACCCCTTCATGGGAGCATTAGGGCCTGCCTGCAAATTGACATTGAACTGGAAAATGTCACTATATCATCTCAACGGAGAGAGAAAACTATATATCTCTGTAATCATTATTGCAGGAATCAGTGCTAATTCTAAATCACATTTAAGTGCAGCAATCACATACAATTATCAGAAAACTAAATAAGGACCCTGCCTTTAGAGCTGGCTCCTTATTGTTGTTGTTTAATCGTTTAGTTGTGATCGACTCTTCATGACCCCATGGACCACAGCACGCCAGGTCCTTATTTTCTAGTCTTCATAAAGTCAAAACGGCACAGAAGTCTCGCTGCTCCATCTCTTTTTTCTCAAGTTTAACTTTATGCTCTCTCTCTCTTAGCACAGAGCTTCATGAGTGCAAGAGATACATACATTGCCATCTCCTGGCCCAAATAAAGGTTTACAACCTTAAGAAATACAAAGCTACTTAAATACTAGGGAATTTATTTA